CCACCAGGGAGGGCCCATATGAATTTATTTTTTAAGATTTCTTTATTTATGCATACAGGCCAGAGGTGAGAGGGGCAGTGAGAGGATTCTCCAGAGGCAGAGTGGGGAGTAGAATAGGCAGACTGACTGAAACACACTGCTGAGGGGAGCAGCGGGCAAGACAGGAGAGGTCTACTGTGCCCTCTGGGTCAGCTCCTGGCCAGGGATGGAACTCAAGCTGAAGCGCTTAATCCAGTTTTGCAGCACTGCTCCTTAACCGGTTGAGCCACCATTGAGGGCCCTGAAATCATATGAATTTAAAAAACAATTCCCATTTCGAAAACATTTTCCAACTGTAGTAAATAGCTCTCCAGTAAGTGCTGCTAGTTCACTCTTGGTGTGATCAGGTAGGTTAAGATGGAGCCATTTGGAAACATCACAATAGGACAAGACAAACCATGGACTGAGCTCCACAGAGGGTTTATAGACTAGGGCTGACTGGGATTCAAAATGAAGAGGAGGCGCCTCCCTGGTGCTGCAGGGGGTTTAATCACAGCACTATGAAGCTATGGGTAGCCACTGCAACATGAGTTCAAAATCCAGCCAAGGAGCTGACCCACAAGGCACAGCAGGTCTCTCTTGTCTTCCCTGCTGCTCCCCTCAGCTGTGTATTTCAGTCAATCCACCTGTTCTGCTCCCCACTCTGTGTCTGGTGAATCCTCTCACCCTCTCTCTCCCTACCCTGCACCTCTAATCTACACCCTAGCTCTTGAATGTATAAATAAAACAAATCTTTTTAAAAAATGAATAGGAACTTAGTCTTTGGAGATTTTTCAGTCTAGATTTTATAGAAGGGATAATTCTGAGCAGGAAAGAAATTCCTGGCTGAAATTCCTCCCCCCATCTCCTTGACATGCTCCTTTTACACTTTACTGAATCTTGTATTCAAAAAATACTTAGCCACACAACTCTCTCACTTCCTGTGTGATCTTAGACAAATTATTTAACCTCTTAGACAAATTATTTAAATATGGTAGTTGCCATATTTGCAGAATGGAGATAATAATACCATATAGTGTTGTAGTAAGAATAAAATAAAAAATTTAAATAATATAATAGTTTCTTTTTAAAAAAAGGTTTATTTATTTATGCACACAGACCTGGGGTACAGGCCAGAGGTGCAGGGGTGGTGAGAGGATTCACCAGAGACAGAGCCTGGAGCAGAACAGGCAGTTCGATGAAGTGCACTGCTGAGGGGAGCAGCAGGTGGGCCAGGTGAGGTCTACCTCCCCGTGTGGGTCACCTCCGGGGCAGGCGGGGATGGAACTCATGCAGAAATGGCTTTAGCTTCTTAGTGCTATGCTTTAACCCGGTGAGCCACCAGGGAGGGCCCCTATTTTAAAAAATAATATAATAGTTTATTTTAACATCATTTTGTGCCTTTTTCCATCTCAGTTGTAATCCCCGTGGGCTTCCCATCACCAAATCACCGGTGTGCCATCACCATAGTCCAGGGCACTTTCCTCCCGCCACCGTTAAGATAAAATTTGTTATGAAGCTTTTAGTCTGGAACAAAATTCAGCGCTGTTTTAACATTAACTGGTATCCAGTATCATTACTACAACCAGTACAGCTACTCTGTTTAGTGATAATCTCCCACAGTCATTCATATCAGGGTAGGGAGTGGTTCTACGGGGAAGAAAGCAGTGAACAAGATTTCTCATTGCACTTGTATAGTCTTATGAGTATTGGTTTCTCCAGCTACACCTGTCACAAAAGGAGCTCAAAGTGATCGCTAAATGAATCAACGTCTTCCTACTGAACTTGACTGCAAGTTCTTTACATGCAGGGACCATATTTCCTGCTCGTTGTTTTACTAGCACCAAGCATTTGGTGAGCCACACAGCAGGCATTTAGGGATTACAGACTAATGAAGGATAGAAGATATAAATGACTGCAGAAGAAAATCATTAGGCCCACACGTTGGCACAGATAAAGCACTGCAGAAAGATCAGCGTTGGCTCTGTGGGAACACCAGTGTAGTGTTGCACAAACACCAGTTTTAGGAATGGGCTGAGCAGAGGAAGAGACGTGAAGGCTGGAGACGATAATTGCAGCAGGACTGAGCATAAACCCAGGTCCTCCGCTCGCCGAGGCTGGGTAAGCCTGAGAGAGCGCCCTGCTCAGCCCAAGCCCCGCCCAGACCCCCCCACCGCTCAAGTCCCGCTCAGGCCCCGCCCAGGCCCCGCCTTGTCCCGCCCAGGGCCTGCCAGGCCCCGCCCCTCCGCTGGCTCACGTGACCTAGGGCGCGTGTCCCGGTCGCTGGCGGAGCGCTCGTTTTTTCCCAGCTCGGTTGCTAGAGCTATGGCGGGCTTGGTGGATTTCCAGGACGAAGAGCAGGTGAAGGCCTTTCTGGAGAACATGGAGGTGGAGTGCAACTACCAGTGCTACCGCGAGAAGGACCCGAATGGTGAGCGCCGCCGGTGCGGCCTGGGGACACATGGTGGCACTTGGGGACACAGTGGGGGTTTGATCGAGTCACGCGAGCGACCTCAGAGGCGATCCGGAAGGGGTCGTGGCCCGCGACACGTCGGGGCGGGGTCCGGGGGACACCGAGCACCTTGTGTGCGTTCTGAGACGCGGCTTAGATGCCTTGAGGACTTGCGGGGTTTGGCAGGGGGGTTGCTCCGCGGGGACCGAGCATGGAGACTCGGTCGGGAAGGAAGAGAAGTGCTTGGGCATTTAGGGTAGAGGGACTCGGGAGACATTGGTGAGCAGATAAAATTCCCTGTCGTCATGGAGCTTACATTCTAGTCGAGGAGAATTGGACACAATAAGATAAGGAATAATTATTGGTGTTAGAAAGTAGGAAAAAGGATTGACTGAGGAATTTCAGGGCACCAGGAAGACAATTTTAAATTGAGCAGTCAGGGAAGTCATTGAAAAAGTGACATTTGAGCAGCTCTGAAAAGACCGAGAAGCAGGAATGTGCCCCTTGTGTTTTGGGAACGTTGACTTGATTTGAGTATGTGGGTGGATGGTGGTGTCCAGAAAGGGCCACCCAGAGCAGCCTGTACCTTTGAGTTTTTTCTATGTCCTACTTTTTTTTTTTTTTTTAAGATAGATTTATTTATGCACAGAAGAGCTGGGGTTTAGGCCAGAGGAACCAGGGTGAGAGGATTCACCAGAGGCAGAGTGAGGAGTAGAACAGGTAGATCAGCTAAAATACACTGCTGAGTGGAGCAGCCGGGAGACAGGAGAGATCTGCTCTCCTGTGGGTCACCTCCTGGCCTGTGATGGAACTCATGCTGTAGTGGCTGTGAATAGCTTCATAGTGCTGTGCTTTAACCCCTTTCACCACCAGGGAGGCTCTCCTACTTTATTTTTATAACAGCGAAACAAAAGATACCTGTCTGACCTTCAAATAGCTTGCAGTCTAATTTCAAGAGCATGATACAACTATATCCTGAAGTGAAGCTACAGCAAAATTGCTGTGAGGTATGATGGCTGAAGAAGAACCCATATAGTTCTTCAAGGGCTGATCTGTGTTCTAAATGTAGAGGAAACAGAGCCACCAAGGAGCAGGATGGTTGGGGAAGAGTTCTGGGGGAGTCATAAGAAGCAGCAAGTATTGATTAAATAGAGAAGTGGTGGGAGATGAAAATGCAATTTTTTCCAAAAGTTGAAGAATACAGTCAGAAATAAGATTAAAGAGGGACTTAGGGGGCCCTCCCTGGTGGTGAAATGGGTTAAAGCACAGCACCATGAAGCTATTGCAGCCACTGCAGTGCAAGTTCCATCCCTGGCCAGGGAGCTGACCACATGGCGCTGCAGACCTCTCCTGCCCTGCCCGCTGTTCCTCTCAGCAGTGTATTTCAGTCAGTCTGCTGTTCTGCTTCCCATTCTGTCCCTGGTGAATCCTCTCACCCCCTGCACCTCTAGTGTATGCATATGTA